GGAGTTCAAATGAAAAATTTCGAAATGATACCACTGCTGATGGAACACCACTACTCAGAAGGCCTCCCAATGAGACTCTCTCAGGTGATATTTTCCTGAAGAAAATACATTCCACTTTGAATGTGCGATTATCAAGTAAACGGTAGCGAGAACGCTGAATTTTTCATGAATTTCATCAGCCGAATAATCTTCACTACGCACATACTCAACTAATGGCAAAATAATCTGATCAATGAATCTTCTCACAATTTGGCAGTGAATGGAAAGTCTAGAAAGTCATGACCGTTTACAAAATATTCATGCAAAATCAAGAGACAACATGCAGACCTTTGCTGACGAACTGAAGAGGAAGTGTCATTTGTGTATTGTTTGTGTAATCGTTGAGATGATCGAACCGCTGCAACATTTACGTATGGACCATCAGGTTGTTTGCGTTCACCGTTGCTCGGAAAATGGCGGTTACCCCAGTTTCGTAACGATGGATCCATATCGGATATGCGACCCAACTCACGCTTCTTCTTTACTTGTTCAGCTGTTTCACACATTTAACGTGATCGAAGATACGATTTTGGCCTCATGCGAGTGCAAGAAAACAGTGTAAGGACTAATAAGTTACTAAGGTCAAATTTCTCAACAAACGTTAACATTGAACCAGCAATGACAATTCTAAATGCTAATGCAAAACGTAAAACTTTTGGTTTTTCGGCGAATTTTTGACAGAGTCACTTTTCATATTCGTCATTGTTGATGTTATTTTATCTCAACTTGACCCTTGTCGTCACAAATCAAGCATGTATAAAGTGAAGCAATAACGAAGTAGTAACGGCACTGATAAGAATATGGAATCAACTGATGCGATTATCAAGCCATATCCTTTCTCATTTTAAAATGCTTCTGAATGTGACTTGAAAATACCTTGCGGCTTCATGAAGTTCTTCCCTCTGTAAAAATGAAGTGTACGGAATAACTTCGAATTAGAAATTCGCAAGTTTATCACTGAGGTTAAGGATATAATCCGTGAAACATCAAGATGCCCTGATTCCAGCTTATGCGATTGGATGGATGTTTGGCCAACAGATCAGAGATTTTTTTAAAGTTCGACTGAGGTTGCAATTTGATGTCATTCTGAAGTGATGAGGACTGGATTGATAGGATGATAAGCAGATATATTCGCGTTCAAAAGTTGTGCTCGATCGCTATGCTACACAAGTCGGTACGAATAATGTTATTTGAAGGGGCAGTGGAAGGATGAGTGGGATGCAGTGGCATGAAGGTCGTAAACAACGGAGATAACAATAAAATGTATGCGAAGACAACAATTTTTTAACTAGTAATGCATCGAATTCAGTTGCTCATTTCTAATAGGAAAGAGCACAAGAGCGTAGGCGAAATACATATATAAAGAGACTTTCGGAATTTTGTGGAGGCAAGTTTCTGCCCTTGACTGCTCCTCTTCCTCTTGACTGCTGTATACCGTTGATTTCACTTACATTCGATTTTGATTAAACTTGATTGAAATTGTAATTTCAACATCCGACGTCGAACTGGCCATCGAACGTGTTAGTGCTGATAGCAATTTACCAATGCGAGAAGAACGTGACTGTAAAATTAAGTATTCACATCGCTTACGAATTTATTGCATTATGACTCGCATTCATTTGAAGAATAAGGGTTCAAAAATTGCTGGATGAATTAAATGCATAAGAGGAAGGGTGAGTAACAGAACTTATCAAGTATCCTCAAGGTCACAGCACGAATAACTTACGACGTCTGAAGCCATCGCGAAATGATCGAGCGATTATTGAGGTGACTTGCCGACACGATGAAAACTAATGGAAATGATTATGTAATCGTTCTTGCGATTAGCAATTTTTATGAACGTCGAAATTACCAAGTACACATATGCAGTCATAGAAGTGAACCAAAATTTTAATAAGAAATTTGCAATGTTTGTTCAATTTTTGATTTCTTGAGTATGACTTTAAAAATTTTGTCATTTTTACGTTAATGTTAATTAATTTCGTGACATTGCTGC